CTGCATCTAGTTTGTGTTAAAACCACAAGTTGACACAGTTTTTTTGGCCAGGAAGAAGCATCTCAGAGTACGGCCTCTGCTCGTGATCAAAACATCACCCAGAAGGATTTCTAAAAAGTTGTCTTTGGTTTGTTGTGGGTTTGTTGGGTTTTTTTTAAGCTTCTGCCTTTCATCACTCACATTTGACATGTACACATTTACCGAAGGAAATGATAAAATTCTGAAGGCGTAGATTTGTTTGGCAAGTGGGTTTTTTTGATTTTTTTTTAAGGGCAGCACACGTGTGTATGTATTCAGGTGGGGGATTTCAACATACTAGAATAATTCCAGCCAAACTGCGGAGCCAGGAGCACAACACACCAAAAACCTAACCAGCTCAATTCCTGCGGCGCTCATAAATTTGCTATACACAGATTTCAAAACACTAGGATGCTGCACTTCGCGTTGCTAGCCAGCTTTTAAAAAAGCCACTACACCTCAGTTAATTTTATCCTATTTTTTAGCATGGCTTACTTTCGGTGTGGCTGGTACTCAAAAACTATTTCAGTCGACGAACAAGCCCTTGGTGCTGTTGAAACCGCTGTCAGCTGGCCCAGGATTTCATCTCCTCTGTTCTTGTACGATATTTTTTGTCGACCAAGGCAAATTTATCACGGTGCAGGTGTAATTTTGCTCCGTCTAGGCCAGGTATCTCAGCAGGTGACTGCCACCCATCAACAACTGCAACGCTGCAAGAAATGCCCTTGCTCACCATCCCGGGCTTCTACCTACTCGTGGGCTTTTCAAGATGTTCTCGCGTTGCCCGAGTGCGCCGCGAAGCAGCAAATTCACGTGTCTCAGTGGAGGGGCCCTGTAGCTCCAAGCGCAGTTTAATTCCAACCACTGCCAGCAAAGCGCTCATCTCTTTGCCAACAGGTGCTGAAAAATGCATCGCTGCCAACGGTTTAACAGCGTGTGTGTGCCCAAATTACCATCAGGCTTATATTACACAAACTGCCGTAGCTGTGCCGCTGCCGAAAAGGAAGAAATTGCAGGCAGAGGGCAGATTTGGGTTTATTGTGGTTACTTTTCGCTGTGCAGAATAGCCGGGGCCTGAGCAAAAGTGAATTGGAGAACAAAAGTGAACTGGAGCACAAAAGTGTAAAACTGTGCGCATTAAGGCTGAGACTTACAAAAGCCGGAGAGCAGGCGGACCTACGCACTAACGCACCAACTGTCAGAGCTCAGAGAAACTTTTAACGCTAGAACGTCTACTTATCAAACATATTCTTCCATTAGAGGGCCATAGGGCTTAAGATCATCTTGACGTATTTTTAAAAAAGCTAACAAAACGGTGACGGGGAGGAGCTCCGAGGTGATGTGTTCACACCTGTCCTCCCAAGAGCTGGAGGGACAAACGCTCTTGACGCTACGAAGTTCAAAGTTTTGGGGAGGTGGTGAAGGCAAAACCCAGGGGCAGGGGCTTATGCGCTGTCCTCCAGGTGTGCTGGCCCTCCCAGCACGCGCCACGGTCAGGCTGGCGTACAAATACTGCAGATTTCTTCCTGTGGTAGAGCTGGAAGTGTCACTTTCTGTGGGCACTGGATACCAACCAGAGTTCACGAGTGGATTTTTTTAGGATTGGGCCTCTGAAGTTAGAGTCTGGAGGGAGAATGAGTGTCCGTCATATAAAAGCACCTCGATTCCCACGACTTTTAGTGTTTTAAACATCCAAATGAAAGCAGCAGCACTCATCTGGAGAAGGAACGCAGGGCAGAAACTCTTCTAGGAGGAGGATATCGATGATTTGTTTAACGAGGTTACAACTAACCCACTGCTTAAATCCAGACTTCGACCTTCTTTTTCCTAGAAATGCGGAAGAAAAAGAAATCTGTGACTCGATGCCGGTTTGGAATAAGCAGTTCAAAAAAAAAAACAAACCACGAAGCGGGCTTGTTGCGTCGCTTCGATATAAAATTACTTACAGCTCTGTAATCCAAGAACATTTCTTTGAAAGCCAGGAAGTCAGTAAAGGTGAGAAGCATATCGAATATATCACCTGCCATTTCGTCTTTGTGCTGTCTATAGAGAGAAAAAGTCTGGGAATTAGAAGAACGCGCGGGGAAATAAACACGTTAGTTTAAAATAGCAGGAGTTCAAAAGGGATACCGGGACAAGTAGGACAACATCAAAATTTAAACAAGAATGTTTCAACGAGACTTTCTGTTAAGGGTTGAGGGGTTTTGCTGTTTTGTTTTATATTTTTAATCATTTAATTCTCATTAAAAGGAGCTTTACCTTAAACAGTCTACCTTCTAAGTGTATGACACGTAGAATAACTTCCCAATATCTTATTAAATCAAATGGACTCTATGATTTTAAGATATTCAGTTCCCAATTACACTTATTCAAGGGGAAAAGCAGTGATCTTTCAAAAGTGATCCCTTCGGGGAGTCGGTAAAGCTAAAGTAACCAAAAGCCAAAGCTTGTGAAAAAGAAAAAAACCTTTTCTGCATGCTTTGTCCAAGAATTATGACGAAGGCATTTCACACACAACTCTTGAAACACTACCAGGCTCTTTGAGTGTCCCACATAGAGCCCGAAAGAGATAAATGAGACTTAACCTTTTCAGGGTCTGGCTCCAAAGTGACAACGATGGTGCAAACTCTCCAGTGTTCCAATTTCTCTACCTACCCCTTAAACCCCAAAATATTCTGGCATGACAGTTCAGAAATATGGATTAGCAGGACAGGCTGAAAGCAAGAAAAGTGGCAGTCATTGCCTGAATGAATGGTTTTATTTTTTATTTTTTAAATTAAAGAGGAATCTCTTTCTAAAGCGGGGACTGTCAAACCTAGGCTTAAATCTAGATAAAAAGAATGAATGGAGAGGCACGGAAGCCGCCCCCTAAACCCAAAAGCAAAGCAGAGACTTACTGCAAGGACATTGTGAAAGCAGTCATGTTAAAACCAGGAATGCGGTCAATCAACTTCTCTTCGATGTATTTCTCTACTAAAGAGATCTGAAAAAAAAACCAAACCCGACAGATCACACCCTTGTAACATCGCAACGGATTTCAGGAGATTTCCAAACATGAAAAAATGCAACCAGAAAAATAACCTTTGTTACGTTCACGTGTTGAACGTGTCAGGTACTACCTCAGTAGGCTAAATTTCTATTCAAGGATGTTGCACAATTTCCAAAATACCTACAGAAATTTTCAGGTGGAACACAGAGGAAGGAACTCAAAGCCCCAGAAACCATCTTTCTCGCTCACAGGTCACGACTGTGCTGCAGAAAGAGAGGGAGCAGCGCAGAGGAGCGACGTATTTTATGGAGGGGAACGCAGGACCTGACAACGGCCTTTATCAAATTAAAAAAGCAATAAAAATAGGGAAAAGTATCTTACGTATTCATTAAAAATAGAAGTATAGACGAGCTTGTTTTCTTCCGAGTCATCAAATTCCTGGTAGTGCTTCTCCATAAAAGTCCTCTGTATTAGCTGGAAACCGTCATCTGCGCCACAACAAGAACGCGTCGTACGGTTACGGGCCCACTCATTCTTTCCGCAACACAAACCCCGCATTCACCCGTCCCTCTCGCTTTCCCGCTGCGGGCACCGAGCCCCGCGCACGTGCGGAGGTCGTCACCCCAAGTCCCCGTTTCTGTCCCAGCTGTGAGGAGACAGAGGCTGCCGGCGGGGGACTCCGGGGGGCCGAGC